ATAGATGAATGGACCTTGTTAATGTTGAAATGCACGTAGTGTGAACGAAGAAATTGGTGTCTTCGTTTCTTTAATGAGAAAGAAAAGTAAACAATGTCAAATTTGTAATTTCTCTTCTTCTTTTTCCTTGGTAAATGGCGTAATTTTTTCTTGTATATATTATATTTCGTTCTAAATTTGTATTTTATTTAGCAGGAATAAATACTCCACCCCCTCGTGGTAGTTTAACCTTCCTACCCCAACCCCCTGACTCAAAAACAAGCCTATCTCACCTGAAAGAGAGGAATTGGTAGACCAAAACAAATAAAATGAATTTGAATCCCCCATATTGCAAACCAAAAGCAAGTAGGGTTATTACTGCTGTCGGTAGACACGGCTCGGGCATGGATTTTTCTAATTGAACACAGCTCTGTTCGTTGAGTACCGTCCATTGTATGTCATATCAACTAGTCCCACCTAATTAATGTGACAATGAAGCATCAATAAATATTATAGAAATAATATCCTACCCATGATGGATAGGATAAAATGCTGCCACGTCAACGATAAAACCTACAATTTTTGACAGTTCAACATTAAATTGTGAAAAATTGTAGACCCCACATTAGCGGTGGTCAAGATGAATGCTGTCCACTGTGAATAGGATATCATTTCTAATAAATATTAACCTTTTGAATTTTGATACGTTCATGATAATATGCAAAGAAGACCTTGACTTGGACTTTAAGAATATTGTGACCCAATTCTGGCCAAGAAAAACTGTACTCCTTTTACCAATTCAAACTATATGCCGTGTGAGGGTGTGCCTCGTTACCAAGTCAGATATATAATTATAACTAATGTTTGCTATATAGAGTCTATGTGCTTTTAACTTTACGATAAATGTGAGAATTAGGTCTGGTTCAAATTTGATGAGAACCAAATTGAATCGAGACTGAATTTAAACGACTTTGAACCAATAGGTTTTGCTTCGATTAGTTATGATTCTTTTTATGCCTCGTAACAAAATTTTAAGACGTAAAGTCTTGTTTAAATTTTCGGAATTTAATTTTGTATTTTTTATTTTAAGTAAAAGAGTTAATTAATTAAAGTACGTTAATATAATAAATTTTAAAAACGAATTAAAAAATTGAGTCATAAGATTGAAGATCATTCAAATTATATTTAGAACCAAGTCAAACCGGCCAATTCGACCCAGTTTGTAGTTTGGCTGGAGTAGTTCTGAGAAAAATTAAAAATGTAAATCACAATGCTCTTTTATTATTAAAGCCGTCGTTATTAAAGTAAGGTCATTTTATTTTAAAAAGATTAGCACTGTCCTCAGAGACGACATGGCTGATTGAAGAAGACTATTCAAGGATGGGGGGCAGCCGGGCAGCAATTGACTCGAGTTGACTTTCATGGAATTTAATGAGATATACTTAGAGGGTGTTTGATAGGAATTAAAATTAGAGATGGCAACGGGGCGGGCCACCCCCGCCCATCCTCACCCAGCTCCGCCACTCCCCCACCCCTTGCCGCGCCGCGCCCCACCTTAGACGGGATAGGGCGAGTTCAGGGCGCGGGCTTGCCTAATTTCCTGCCCTGTTTATTTTATTTTATTTCAAAAATCTCAAATTAACTATTTTTTTTTAATTTGTAATTAATTATTTTTTTTTATCCTTCACAAGGCGGGCTTGGAGCGCTTGGGGCGAGGCACCCCCTCCTCAACCCTTCAGAGCGAATTTTTTTTCCATCACTAATTAAATTTGGGGGCCTATTTGGGCCATATTTTAATCTAAGTCAAAGTCAAACAATCAATATTAACCACATCTTTCATAGGTCTCATATCTTTTCAACAACACATTTCAAAAGCTTCTATCACAATCCACTTAAAATCTGATTTTAATCTACACCAAACACCCTCTAGATTTTTAGTAGATTTTGATAGAAGTTTTTGAAATTTGTGATTGAAAAGTTTTGGGACCCATGAAAGATGTGGTTAATATTGATTGTTTGACTTTGATTTGGATTAAAATCAGATTTAATCTGGACCAAACATTTGCTTAACTTGTTTGGTTTTCATTATTTTTTTTTTAGAAGAAAATATATACCTTTCACTTATTTTTAACAAAATATTATTTAATAGAATAATATTACACGTAAAGTCAAATTTTTTTATTTTATTTTTAAACCACGTATTTTTCATCAAAATATTGTTCCAAAATATATTTTGAAAAAAAAAAAAGCTGAAAAAAGCTCATAATAAATATATCGAGCAACCCCGCGTAATTAAATTTCGT